AGTTCTAAGATCAACCTTGTTTGAGTGGAACTGTAAGCATCGGTCCCTTCAATATTAAAAGTTGTCTAGGAGTTGATGGAACTTGATTGGTGAGAGTAACTTCAGCCACCTCTTGAACTTCCTCAAAATCCTTCTCGATCATATTGATTGTTGAACTATCATGTGTTGGTAGGGGGTTTTTAGCAATGTTTGGGCCAACAACTTTCGGCTCTGATGCAATTTGCAACTCCTTCGCATCTATCAAATCCTGCACCCGATGCCTTAAAGCTAGACAATTTTCAAGATCATGTCCAACACCTCCACTATGATATTCACATCTTGCCTCTGGGTTGTACCACGTTGGGAATGGTGATTTAACTGGCACCATGGGTACAGGAGTAACAAGACCAGTTGCTACCAATTGTTGAAACACTTCAGTGTATGATAAAGGAAGTTTGTTGAAATGTCGTCTCACTTTTTCTTGTTGTGGACGATTGATCCCAGAGGCATAGAGTGGCCTTGGCTGACTTGTAAAAATTGGTGGTTGATAAGTTGGAGCTTGGAAAGAATTATTGAATTGTCCTCGAGGGCGTGGTTGATTATTTCTCCCATACGTCTCATAAACTGAGCTAACGGTGCCAGTGTCATTTTCCTTCTTTTGATTCTGGCCCACTTTCCTTGAACTAGAAACCCCTGAGCTACCATTTTGGTATTGTTCAAGGAGACACTTCATAGCTTGATAATCAATAATAATCCCTGACTTGATTCCATCTTCCACTTGCTCTCCCACGATGACCAACTGAGTGAAAGTGTAATTTACACAAGTCATCAACTTTTCTCGATAAGGCCCTTTAGTTGATTTAATGAATAAATTACTCAGTTCATGATCAGTTAGTGGCGGTTGAACTCGAGCAGCCAATCCACGCCATCTTTGAGCAAATTCCTTAAAGCTCTCACTCGATTTCTTCTCTGTTCTTTGAAGATCCTCTCTACTAGGAGCTAGTGATGTATTGTATTCATACTGCTTCACAAAATTGGAAGTCAAATCATGCCAACTTTTGACCTTACTTTTGTCTATAGTAGAGAACCAAGCATCTGCAGGACCTGTCAGACTGTCCTGAAAGTAATGTATCATTAGCTTCTCATCATTGGCATAAGGAGCCATCTTCCTACAATACATTGTCAAGTGGGCATAAGGACAACCAGTGTCATTGTACTTATCAACTCAGGCAATTTAAACTTATGGGGCAGTTGAATGTTTGGGAAAAAGCACAAAGATGAGATGTCAACCGGTTTATTAGTTTGGACACCTTGCATCGATTTTAGTGTTTCCTCCATCAACTGCACCTTCACTTTAATTGCCTTGTCTTCATCCTCTGTGATTGACTTGACAACTTGAATCTCTTCTTGACCATTAGACTGAACTGTAGCAACACCAGCATTTAGAACAAATGGTTTTGTCCCAGAGGTTCCACCAATAATTGGATCAAGAGGGCCAGATAACATAGGCTCCTTCCCAAGAGTTAAAGCAGATGTGGCCACAGGGAGATTTGCCACCGAAACATTTCCTTCAAATAAAGGATTTGTTGTCAAAAGTGTTCTTGTGACTAAGGTTGCTTGAAGAGATTGGAAGGAAGCCATCAATTCCTTCAAAGTATTTTCCATATTTTCAACACGATTTTCCAAAGCTACCTTCTCTAAATTAGCTT